ATATATATATTTAAATATACATTGGGTATTGCTATTTACTTAATGACGTAACGTGAGTCAACACAAAACATTCTATTTTTCTCGATTTTCAGAGAGACAACAAATTTAGAACGACACTTATATCGATTTATATCTTCAAATGGACATAAATTGATTAGAATTTAGTGGCAGCTGATCTCATTTTCATAAACTTTTTCTGCAATTTCTTTATTCGCAATATCACTTATCAATGGCTTTTCATTTGATGACACAAATCGACACAAGACGTCATAAGTGTCATTCTATCTTTGTCATTCTCTTAATGCCAAGAAAGATAGAACGATATGACGACTTGTGTCGACTTGGTCATCAAGTGGAAAGTACCCATTAATGTCATGTGAATGAGGCTTAATGGTAACTTTAGTAAAACCTAACCTAAAATCGCATCGATCAGGTGCAACAACGCGTTGCGTGAGACAGTTTTACAATTTTCGTTTCGTTGCCAATTTGTCAATTGGCAACCAATTCCCATAGTGACGTATATTTATTCCCTTAAAGCGACGTTAATTGTAATTATAGAGGTAAGGGCGAATCTAAACGAATGAGGTGTTTGATCTCCTGACGTTTGTCATGTATTGTTAATCACTACCTGCATTTCAGTAAAATAGATCAATTATTATCGAACCTCTTTTGTTATATTTATGTGCCTCGGACACGTGTTATCTTAACGCTAAAATATAGCACATTCGCTATTTCGTTTCTTATCGATAGCTATTATCATACCAAACATTCGGTTTAAAAGAAATAATAAAATAGTTTAAACGATGATATTCTCAATTTTACAATTGTATCAAAATTAGCAGAATATTATGATACGATTAACTATATTAAAATAATTAGTTGACAAGAGACTATTTCATATAATAAAATCTCTAAATGCAGCCCAGGTTGAACAAATTATTATAATGTTAAAATGACTGACTCCAAAATGAACGTTAAAAATAATTTTTCAATCATTTCCGATTCATTTAATGTCATTATCCTGAGTTAATTGTTGTTCTGCTTGGGAATGAAGTAATGTAATTGATTTGGCAATGAAATAGTACATAAATATTCTGTATATTAAAAAAAAACGTGGCAATATTTTATTATTTAATCGGTAAAAATATTTATATATTTTTATATTTAATTTTATTAATTTTATTTAAATATATCACTTTTAGTATGCTAAGCGGCCGAATTTCTATCAGACATTGCTAATTGTAATAACAAAGTGGATGCTGCATGAATTCGCGTAATACTAATTATCGTAAGAGTAACTGATCGATTCAACCCACGTCCGATATCCATCAGCAAGATTTTTGTAGAAAGAAAGATACATTATCCAAAGTTCTCAGAACGTAAGTTTTCTCTGTCAGATTCCGGACGTCGCGGACAATAATAATGGACATCGGACATCGGACGCGATTCGAATGTATTCATAAATAAATTGAACGTTAACGCTAACACGTGCAAGACTAAAGCGCCGAGGCATAATCAAGCGTAATAATCTCTTTAGCTCAATAGAATGGGTATAGTTTCCAGTACAAAAAGGACCATCATGCCGTCGACGCGAGACCTCGTCAAAGAATTGATCGCCAAGGACTCGGTCGTCATATTCTCCAAGACGTACTGTCCTTATTGTAAAATGGCCAAGGAGGTATCTATATGCTCTCTGTTTAATATGAGATTATAAACGAAACAACTACGTCACGTGACAAATGGTCTATATAGATATAGATCGCTGTATTGAATTTGTTGATTGACATATACGGCTTCAAAAATTAAAGAAATACCTTCTGATATTCTTAGTATCTTTAAAAATTAATCAAGTTTTATTCTCCCTGCAATTTTCAATCTGACGTCTCAGCTGTTTAAGTACTGTTAAGTCAACATTGCAATTTTTTGTGAGTCTATTAAATGTTATATATATTCTTATATTAAAAATTGCCCTTTTTATACTAATTTGCAATTTGTTGAAAAAATTATGTCACGTTTTCTGCACTGCGATATGTAAATTTAAATATAATAATTTATTATTTACATTATTTATTATTAATTATAAAATAAGAGAATTTTAGTGATAAATTATTAATTTATAATTTATTTGTTTTAATCAATTTCTTTAAATTTTGGTGTAGGTATTTGACTCGTTGCAGAAGTCGTACACAGCGATAGAGTTAGATGATAGAGAGGATGCGCAGGAAATACAAGATGTGCTGGGTGAAATAACTGGCGCCAGGTCAGTGCCCAGGGTATTCCTCAACGGAGAATGTTTAGGAGGCGGTACCGACGTAAAGAAATTGTTACAGAGTGGCGAACTTATAAAAAAATTTTGAATTTCCACTGTCGAAGCGTCTTATGATAAATTGTGAAAATAATTCGTTCGTAATAAGGAACAAATTATTCTAATAATAAATCAAATATATATCTATGCTGATATAAGAGAGGAAAAAGATATTTTTTGAATGGACTTCCTATATATATATATTCCTATCCTGCTTTCATTGATTGTATTCTTCATTGGAAATAAAGATAAATATAAATGCGTAAACATCAATTAATTTTACTTATTAATCTTACTTTAATTATTTAATTTGTCATTTAAATTTTATTTATAAAAAAGTAGCTTATAAAATGAAGTTATGTTTATTTGATTTAAATTGCAAGTTTCAATTAAATTCCAACTAAAGTTAGAATTTGATTGATTTGTTTACTGATGAATATTTCTTAAGGTAAAAATTACAGGAAAATGCTTAACTATGCTAAATGCTTGCTTAATCCTTTTCCTTAATCCTTTTCCTAATCCCCAACTTTATTTTCATAAAATAATGAAACTAATAATTCCATTTAATTAACAAAAGCTGTATTATTACTCGAAGAGTGAATTGGTGATTAAGTATTAATTATAGTACGGTCCAAGTTATTCTTAAAAAAACTGTGATTGACAATTTTAATTTATATGTATAGAATATTTGTATAAAAAAATTACTTCAAATTTTAGCGCATTCATCAGTCGAATTACGTAACTTATTACGCTTTATTTTATTATTTTCACGGATAAAAAATTAGCCTTTCATCAGCTACTCTTTCTGCATTCTCGGTTTCCTCGCTCTTTTCGCAAATCAACGTATCAATCTTGTTGCGGAAAGAATTTATTAGTGCAAATAAAAAAAAATATAAGCTAAAAAAAGGCAAAGTAATCAAGTTCAAAGTCGATACAGTCGACAACACGGGGCACCACGTGTCCACCTCGATGACGGTGGTAGACACGCACACGCCTATCTAAAAATATACCGCAGTTCGGTGAGAGTCGACGCTCGATCGCGTCGATCCAGAACCGATCGGCCGTGAAGTGAGGAAGAAATGGATCTGACGCGGTATCGCAAAATCATAATTTATGTGCTAACATTTCTGGCGTATGCCTGGTCCGGCTACGGTGCCGGATTATTGACGAATCTACGGGACGCCGTGTTGGCGGCGGAGACGGTCTTCCAAGATCTTTTCGCCAACGCCATAACCGTGGCGAAGAAAATCAAGGATATACATGAAGTATTCGACGCCGCCGTGGAGGAGCACTGCGTCTTCAAGTGTCCTGACGGTGTGTAATCAATGTAATTCCAACGTGCGATATCATCAGCTGTCATCGTCGCGTTATCAGGTTATTCTCCAACGCCGCGATGCTATTGGTCGGTTTCCTCGATCGATTCGCGCGAATCTCTTTCTCTATCTTTTAATTGCACTTTCTACACTCTTTCCTTTTGGTCCCGTTTCTTTTTTATGATATTTTTGGAGCATTTGACTATCAATTTTAATTAATGTCCAAAAGTCTATTTTTATTAATATATAGATTAACTTTAATCTTGGTTTAACTTATTTTTTTATCTCTTTATAGTTCTATAGTTTTTTATAGTTCTAAAATATTACAAGAAAGTAAAGAATAAATATATTATAAACCAAGATTGAAGTTAATTTATATTATAAATTTTTCATTTTCTAGTGAACTTTTGGTTCAAGTTTAACTTCACATAATATAAAAATTGTTTTTTTTTTAATTATGATAATCACTAAAATTGATAGTTTTAGTAACTTTGAAAATTATTATACAAAATTATTATACAAAACTATATTTAAAAAAAATACAATTTTTATATTATCATAAGGTTAAGCTTAATAATAAATTCATTAGAAAATGAAAAATCAGTCTTAACTGAATCAGACTCAATGAATCTTTCTGTGTGTGTGTGTGTGTGTGTGTGTGTGTGTGTGTCACGTAATAAAACATTAATAATTTTATTATAAGAAAATAATATAGATATTATTTGATAATTAATCGTTGATTAATTTGATAATCGATGATTAAGTTAATCAGAGATTAGTTGAGATCGCCCCATTAATTTTTGCGTCTATAATTTTGCTACTAAAAATTATTATCCTTTTTGCCATTTTATTACGCTTTCCGTATCGAGCATAGAGGTTATGAGGGAAAAAAATTGCGATGAATAAAGAATCTTTTATTTCTCGTGAGCACAAATCATAAACGTGAAACGCGATGATTGACATGGTGCGTCGTGATTGGAGCGGTTGCGATTGAACAAATGGCGCATTATTTAAATCGTTTTCAGGATCCATACCGAAGGCAAACTGGAATCATAAACCTCGAAGTGACGGATGCGGGTCCCTTGGTATTCAGGTCGGTGTGTTTCCCCGAGAGGATAGATAAGTGATAAATGATATGCAATGTTTTTATATGTATAACATTTTTATCGCATTTTGTCAATTAATTGCATGAATAAGTGTGCATCGTCATGCATTTATAATTTAATATATAAATTTCTCGATAATTTACAATCTAAGTCGGCAATTAAATTTACAACTTAGTTAGCGCTTGTAATTTAATGTGATCGAGCTTGTAATTTAAATCTAGTTGAATTTGTAATTTAATTTGCAACGTTAACTCGAAGTCTATACATTTTGTAATATTCTTTGGCTTGCAATAATTCTTAATTATATTAATCATACCAAAGCAGAGAACAAAAAATCAAAGATGACATCAAAATAATTATTAAAATTCATTTTTCGATCAATTATTTTAACGTCATTTTGACGTGACCTCCAGTAAATACCACAAAATAGTAACATAACAACAGTTATAATTTCACACTCAACGATAATGTAACTATTGCATAAAATATGTATTATATTACATTTATATAAATACGTTCTCCTTGAAATTATGCAACTTTTAATTGGCATTTTTCCTTCTATTGTTAAAAATAAGCGAGTTATTCAGGTGGCCTGTTTTAGATGCCTCATCTCATCAGATGCCTGTATTTTTGAATGTGAAATCTAGAATGAGATAAATACAATTCTGAACGAAAAAAAACTTGAATCCAATTTTCAAGATTCAAGTTTGGTAAACTGCTTCTAATTATATGGAGGATAGTGTAGAGTGTATCAAACAAAAGAAAATCACACTTGAAGTTTGAAGATTGCATTCAAATCTTACTTCATTTAAAAATATTCGAAATTATACCATTGATTTTATATTACTATTGTTAGTTGGTGTTGACTAGACTGTTGCTCTGTTTGGGTATAATCGTTTCACCTACAAATTATTACAAACATTTGTAGGTGAATCAGGAATACCTTCCACTCGCTGAAATGACAAAGTGCTGCGACGCTCACGACATTTGCTACGACACTTGCAATACGGATAAGGAAAAGTGCGATCTCGAATTCAAAAGATGCCTTTACAAATATTGTGACACGTATCAAACCACCGCCATCAGTATCGTCAACACGTGTAAAACCGCGGCCAAGGCTCTTTTCACGGGAACGATTACGTTGGGTTGCAAGAGCTTCCTCGACGCCCAGAAACAGGCTTGTTACTGTCCCGACAAGTGGAGCAAAAATAAGAAATCGAAGAAAGCGGCACAGGCCGGAGGAGAATTATAATGTTGCATATATAATATAATATAAAAATAATAAGATGTATTTATACAACAAAATGTAAAATGTTAAATAGAATAGAAATTTGTAAATTTTGGATTTACTAAAAGAATTTTTGTAATGCCGTTCTTCTCATAATTTATAAGCCTAGATTAAATATATGTCAAATTTTGTAAAAGATATAAGTTTCCTGTTATAACTGTAAAATAATCGTTACTAATTAGAAGTTTTGTTAAAGTGAAGATAGAGAATAAGATATGTGCAATATTAAATAATTAATTGAATGATTGAGAATGATTTCCCTTTTGTAATATCAATTCAAGTAATATTAAAATCGTGTTTGTCTTTTGAAAAAACAATGGACGGTCTTTCTGATATAAATGTCAATGTGACAATTGTCCTCGGACAAAATCACCGTGCCGGGATTGGCATGAATAATAAATAATAAATTATCAAGTAACACTAATTGTCGAGACATTTGCTGAGATTTCCGTAAGGTGAAGCGGAAAATGGGAAACGCTAACTCCGCGCCACCTCCCAAAATTCATAAAGGTCAGAAGGAGGGCAAGTAAGATAATTTCTACTTTATGACAGAACTAGTCTTGTATAACTTCGCATTTTTTATTTTTGATTTGTTCTTGGAACAGACTTGTTTAAATTACTCATTTATATTCATTTAAAATTTTTGAAAAAGCGTCAAAAGTGAAGAAAAATATGCACATCATTTTCCTGCAATCTATATCTATACGAAAAACTTTTGCTGACTAAATTCCTTTCTTTTTAATTTATATGTAGTTTTTATAAAAACAAGTTATTTCCTCAATTAATTACTTGTATGAATGTAAAAGCGCAAGAATTGTTTTTGACGTTATAATATAGAATGTAGTGAATGGAACTTATCTTATTACGAGATCAATGGAACACGCAAAAGCATACTTTGCAGTTTTGCCTTTCACGTAGCGTAGATACCGGAAAAGGTAAACAACCCGGAAAGAACGGAAGCAGTAAAGCCACCAGCCAAAGTTCACAGAGTCAAAACGGGTACAAAGTCAGTTCTCGAGCGACAAATCCTTTCATCATTTTCTTTCTGCGACTTCGCAGCAAAAAACCGAATGAGCATGTCACCGTGATAGCGCGAGCTGCGGGTAAATTGTGGTCCCAGATGACTCCCGAACAGAGAAAGAAATATGTGGATCTTGCCAATGAGGAGAAGAAACGACGTCAGGAGAGGAAACGGAAGAGAAAACGATCATCCACACATTCGAGGTAATCCGTGAAAAAGAAATAAAAGTAATGAATAAAAATAATAACGATGATAAATTAGCATAAACTCTAAGTCAAGTGAATTGTTTATGATAAAAGTGGACTAAGTCCATAAAATTATAAGGTTCAAAAAGATGTAATTATATATTCAAATAATGTATCTAGTAAGAAAGTAGAGGAATGTAATTTGTAAAATCTAAGAGAGAGAATATTATATATCTTCCAAGAAACCACATAAATTATGGACTTATTTCACTTTTACTCAGAATCCTTCAAATGCAAGCTAGAGATGTGATCGCATTCCTATGTCCAGGATGAAGTAACAAAGTTTATAAAGGATCTATATCGCGCAAGGAGATCTTACACGCAATACGTCGTCGTATCTGGAAACAATCAAAGATGCAATTACGTATTTTTGATTTCTTTTTTATTTGTTAGTAGTCTTTTTTAGATCTATGTACAATAAATATTGATGTATTTTTATACATTATTAATTATCTTATCATTCAATTACTCTAAGCTAGGCGATCTGCCGTTTTTCTTTCGTTTTATTCGTTTCTCTCGTCTGAAAAAATTAAACTCGTAACGTTTCGTACCATAAATATATTATTTTTTTTTGTCGTCACGACCATTCCGCGAAGCGTCGCCCACAACGAGGGAGGGAAATTACGCGATTCGGGGCAATATCTTCGGGGCAACGTATTTCACGCTACCTCCTTCCTCTTTCCTTCACTTCGCGAAGGGAAATCGACGTATGCTTTCTCTCGCGATTTCGATACAAAAAATAATTTCGGCACGAGTCTCGCGACGCTTCGTGGAAGAGCCTGATTGCGCGCTCCGTTATTCTTTCCGAAACTAGAGCTACCCTCTCGCGATATTAGATAATAAAAACATACAGAGAATAATGAATACCGAACGAATGGGTGTGACATCGTATATGTGACAATTAAAATATAACGTATGAATATGTTCTTTAGTAAGTGTGATTTGTGTGTGTGTGTGTGTGTGTGTGCGCGCGCGCGTGTGTGTGCGTGTGTGTGCGCGCGCGCGCGTGTGTGCGTGCGTGCGTGTGTGTATGTGAGTCTATTTTGTATGTGTTTCATTCATCATCTCCCACAATAGTAATGATTATTAATGATAATAATAATGATAACAATTGATAAAAATTATGTAAACGATGGCGCTGACGATCGAGATTGACGATTTTACACTGGTGAGACGATGTCGGCGGCAATTAAACGACTTCCGTAATAATACAATGAGGATTATCATAGCATTACGCAGTTACCTTTTCTTCTTTATGATACAGTAAAGTACAAGTGTGCCAACTTAAATAACAATGTTTAACAATTGATAATATCAAACAGAATATTATTCGCAAATATATTTATATATATTTATAATATATATATATATAAATACATAAAACGTAACACTGCTGCGGTTCGCGAAGGAATGCCCTACTAAAATAGGTATCCGCATTTTTTTTCTTTTATCTCCCCCTCCCCACTTTTCTTTCTTTCAAATTAGAAATGAAAGAGCGATACCTTGGCCGACCAAAATTAATCCGTCCAAGATAACGTCTAATCTCCCTTTCTTTTTTTTTTTTATTTAAAATGCACAAGTATGCAAACTTATGCCTTCGAAAATCACCAATCAATAACTATGATTAAATTGTACCTTGTGTGCAATCTTTGTCGACAAGTTAAGAATCAGTTTAATACGAGCCTTCCTCGAGCACGGAGAGGAGAAACATCCCGTTGTCAACGGGCGTGAATAAAGAGACGAAAAGGTTATATCAATATTAATTATCCTTCCTTATTTCTCTCTTCCTGTTTTTCTGAAATTGAATGTGCAGTTAAAACAGTAATAAGCATATATATTCGCGTAATGATTTTGATTGTACTAGGTACACCGGTCTTTCGCGAATATAATCTGCTGAGTCACGATAAAGAATTAAAATAAGGTTGTGTGCTTGACGAACGGATTACCGAACGTAGATTCTGCTTATAAGTATGTCACAGAGTTATCTTGCGATCTGCACTGTCCACTACGGCTATCGATGTAAGCCCTTTGTATTCGCCAATCGCAGCGATTGCAGCACCATCATCTTCGGAGGCTCCGTGGAGCACCTGGATCGGAAAAGAGGATTGTCGCGAATGGATCAGTGTGACGAGAAGAACAAGTCTGGTTCGCGGACAGAGCTGAATGAAGGCAGCGAGTGATCGGGGAAGTACAGTCTGCGGCGTCAATCATATGGTAGAAGATCGAAGATGGGTCGCTATTGATGATCGTATCGAAGAGAGCATTAACTTGTCGCGCGAAGAAGTTCGTTCATCCGTCCGAATGTCGAGAGAGATTGATCCGATTGGAGTAGGCAATAATCGGTGGCTAGCGCGGCCTCATAGAGCTGTTGAGGGGTTGCATGAGACCACCATTGATGTAACCGTGGTACGTAGTGTAAACAGCCGCCGGATTTTGTTGATGCGGGTCCTGCGGATATGGTGCTGGTACATTCACCACGCCGACTGGTAGCTGGCTCGCCTGATTCATAAAGCCACCAAGCTGCGCTGCTTGGTTCATATAACCGGTCGCTGGTTGCGCTACCCGGTAACTATACTGAGCGGCTGCCATGAGATTCGTATTGAGGGCAACATTCGGGCTGACGCGGCTCGCCGCACTTTGCATCTGTGGGCAGGTACCGCTCGGATCGAGAGTCTGCCGGTAGAGACTCTCGCTGGGATACGGCTGCGTGAGCGATGGCATATTGTTCGCGGACGAACGCGAGGTGGATCGGCTAGGCGGTCCGGGCGTGCCAGGAGGCACTGTGTTGACATTGTAACAATAATTTTTTGCATAACCCAAGGGTCCAACTTGAGGTGGCGTTGGTAGCTGCCGCGATGTCTGCGGTGGTGTCATAGTATGTGGGATGGGTGGCGGCGGCGTGAGGTTCATCGCCGGTGGCGGTGTGGGCGGTATCATTTCGAGACCGTTGGTCAATTGTTGCAATTTCGCCAGACTGCACGAATTGGTGGTTTGATGACTACCACCGGAAGTGGAGAGTGGAGTTGGCGCTGGGGTATGCGAATGTGGCGGCATCGGGGGATTTGTTTGTATATAGAAATTCGTGGCGGTGGTGCAAGGTGTCGGCGCACCGGAACGGCCGCTGCGATGTTGGATCACAGCATAGGTATTCTGTGGGAAACCTTGCGAACCCGCTACTGCCATGTAATTGCCTTGCGAAATCACTGCCATGTTGTGCGAATGCGCAGCGTGCGGGGTGTGCGAATGCGGATGTACTGCCGGTGGTACACTCATCGACGATGGCGATTGTTGATATTGCGGTGGCATCGCAATGTGCGCCGTGTGTGCCACGGATACATTGCTGTGACTGGTCTGCGACGTCACAGCGCTGTGCTGAGAAGTCTGGGTGGTATGAGCCGGTGGAGTGACTCGATGTGACCTACTACTCTGTTGCGTCGACCTGGATCTATGTGTGGTCTGTGAACCGCTGGCGCGCTTGCTATGTGATTGATGAGATTGAGTTTGCTGTTGTTGAGGCTGTGGCTGTTGCTGATGCGTAGATTGTTGTTGTTGTTGCGACTGCGCAGATTGAGATTGACTGTGCGCCATACTTTGACTCTGCGCTTGCTGTGCCAACGATAATTGCATCGGTTGTGGCGTATGTGATTGGGGCAACGGCTGAGGCGTATGGCTTGGTGGCAATGGTTGCGGACTCTGCGTAGGTATACTTTGCGGCGTGTGCGATTGTGGCATCGGTTGCGGCGTGTGGCTCTGCGGAAGTGGTTGTGGGCTCTGAGTCGGGATGCTCTGCGGAGTACGTGGTTGCTGAAGGGATTGCGGGGTATGTGGCTGATGCATCGGATGGATGCTCGGATGATGAGTCGGCGGTGTATGCTGCGGCATCGAGCAATCGGCGTATTGCACTTGCTGCGGCATATTCACTGACACCGATGACGTAACAGGCGTTGTAATCTGCATGGCGACTGAAATCGGTACGTTTGCAGGCGGCGGAATAGATGGTAAAGCACTGGGAGGTCTCTCCACGCTATTTTGCGATGCAAGATCACTGGCTATGGAAGTGGGCGATTCCAGGCCCAATTGACTCACATCCAGATCACACTGACTATAATGCAACGAGTGCACAGAATTAGTCGTCGAGTCCGGAGTGTAGACTCCCATAGATGGCAAATCTGGTTGCGACGGTGGTGTTCTCTTCACTGAGCCTGGATTCTCAAGATGCGGCGTGGTTTTACCGCTCTCAGGCGAATGCTGTTTCAGTTCCTCCGTTTGAGTTTGTAATTGCAAGGTTGTATCCTGTTCTACTGTGGGCAACGGTTTCTCCTGCGGCGTAAGAGGCTCGGCTTCTGATGTCACCACCGCGTTGATGAGAGTGTATGTGTCTTTCTTTTCTATGGGTAAAGGTTCCATTTTCGGTCGCGACAGATCAATCTTGACATCTTTCGGCATTTCGTTAACGAGTTCCTCTTTAAGTGGGCTATTGCTATCATCATCATCCTTCTTCAGCATAATGCTGCTCTCCGATTTTTCAACTTCCTCCTCTTTTGGTGAAACAACTGGTTCAGGTACTGATTTCGATGCCTCCGGACTGCAAACTGGGCGCTTGTCAATCTCGGAGTCCTTATCACATTCGTTTAAAGTTTCAGTCTGATCGTCGCCGACTGTTGGTGTTAAATCCGCTGCTTCCACTTTCTGCGAACTTTCGTCGTTGTCTTTCTCCTGAATCTTGTTATCCGCCTTCTCGTTCTCACACGATTCTTTCACGGGATTCTCCGTGCTGGGCGAGGCCAATTGCATTACTGGTTTAGGCGTTGGTGCAGTTATTTCTTCCTCTTCCCCTTCATCCTCATCGCCGCCCTCATATTCGCCGGAACTCGCAGATACTACTTCCGTTTCTGTGGGAACGGGCAAACCATTGTCCTCCGCGCTCTCCTCGCTCTTATTATCGCTGTTACCAGAGTGCTT